AGAAGGCCATCGAGGAGGCGGAGCGCCGCGCGAAGTGNCAGGAGATGGAGCGCGAGGAGACGCTGCGCAGATCGCCTTCATGAAGGAGATGCCCGACGACACGCCCGCGGGGTCCGTGAGCGAGTACATGTTCAAGGAGGGCGTCAAGGACCAGCTCGACAAGCTCGACTACGACCTCGTGGGGCTGCTGCCCGTGAAGCAGCGCGTGCGCGAGATCGCGGCGCTCCTCGTCCTCGACAAGATGCGCCGCAAGCTCGGCTTCGACACGGCCGTGCCGAGCCTCCACATGTGCTTCACGGGCGCGCCCGGCACGGGCAAGACGACGGTCGCCGTGCGCATGGGCCAGATCCTCGCGAAGATGGGCTACTGCCGCTCCGGCCACGTCGTCGTCGCGACGCGCGACGACCTCGTCGGCCAGTACGTCGGCCACACCGCGCCAAAGACCAAGGAGGTCATCAAGCAGGCGCTCGGCGGCGTGCTCTTGGTCGACGAGGCCTACTACCTCTACAACGCGGCCAACGACCGCGACTACGGCCAGGAGTCCATCGAGATCCTCCTCAACTTCATGGAGAACAACCGCGAGGACCTCATCGTCGTGTTGGCGGGCTACAAGGACCGCATGGACAAGTTCTTCTCCTTCATCCCGGGCATGAACTCGCGCATCGGCAACCACATCGACTTCCCCAACTACGAGGTCGACGAGCTCTACGAGATCGCGCGCGTCATGACGCGCGACCTCGAGTACGACATGTCCGAGGAGGCGGGCGACGTCTTCAAGCGCTACATCGAGCGCCGCATGGACATGCCCTTCTTCTCCAACGCGCGGACCGTGCGCAACGCCATGGACCGCGCCCGCATGAACAGCGCCATCCGCATCTTCGACGAGGCCATCGCGCCCCACAGCAGTGGCGACATCACCGCCGCGCAGATGAAGGAGATCGCGCCCGCGGACTTCCAGATCATCCTCGACGAGGCGCTCGAGGCCCCGGACGACGCCATCCTCGCCTAGACCCGGACGCCCCCCCCCCCCCTCTCCCCCACGACGACGACGCGCCGGCGGCGCCAGTGGCCGCGCGCGGCGGGGGCCGACCGCGCCGAAGCACGCGCGCCCGCGCCGCCGGCGCGCCGTCCGACGCGCCCCCGTAGTTTACTCGAAGTTCCATGTCCGCCGGTCGACGGGCGAGGGGCGGGTAGCCGGGTAGGCGCTCCGGTAAGTGCTCCCAGTGCTCCGGTACCGGTCGCGCCGACGTCGCGCCGTGCGGCAACATGAACGTCAACGCCTCGGCTTGCAGTCTCGAAACTGCTGATGGGCAGTGCGTGAAAACCTCCTCCCGCGGGCATGGCGAAGAAGAAGAAGGCGGCGAAGAAGGCCGCGGCCCCGGCCAAGGCGCCGGCGCCGGCGCCGGCGCGCGAGTTCCCGCTCCGGCCGGCGTGCACCATGGAGACGAGCCTCGGTTCCTTCACCTTCGAGCTCCTCGTCGACGAGGCGCCGACGACGGCGGCCAACTACCTCGACCTGCTCGAGCGCGGCTTCTACGAGGGCCTGCACGTGCACCGCGTCGTGCCCGGCTTCGTCGTCCAGCTCGGCTGCCCGCACACGCGGGACCCGGCGTCGGAGCTCGCGGGCCAGGGCGCGCCGCCGCCGCTGTCGACGTTCGCGACGGTCGCCGGCGACGCGGTCACGCGCCAGCCCCACCCCGAGGACCCGGACGGCGGCTACCTCGTCCCCGACGAGTTCGAGGCGCCGCGCTGCAGCCGCCGGTCCAACGCCAAGTACACGCTGTCCGCGGCGAACGCGGGGCCGCGGTCCACGGGGTCCCAGTTCTTCGTCAACCTCGCGGACAACGACGAGCTCGACTGGTTCTCCGGCGACGGCGAGGAAAACTCGCAGCACGTCGTCTTCGGCCGGCTCCTGGACGGCGCGGAAACGTCGAGCGGATCCACGGCGCGCCGCGGCGCGACGAGGTCCCGACGACGCCCGTGAAGATCCTGGCCGTCGCCGTGGCCTGGCCGTCGCCGGAGGCCGTGAAACGGGTGCTCGCGCCCGAGCCCGGGCCCCGCGTCGCGCACGTCCTCTTCGCGTACGGCGGCGCCGTTTCCGCGCGGACGGACGCGGCCGCCGCGTGCGCGTCCAAGGACGACGCCCTCGCCGCCGCGGCGCGCCTCCTGGCCAGGCTGCGGGCGGACCCGGCGGCCTTCGCCCTCGCGGCCTTCTCGCGGTCCGACTGCGCGTCGTACCGCTACGGCGGCGACTGCGGGCCCCTCGCGGCGTCGGGCGCCGGCCCCGCGGAGGAGTGCAAGGCCGAGGAGCCCCGGCCGCCGGAGCCGGCGAAAGCCAAGCCGGCGAAGAAGCCGGGCATCGTGCGCCGCCTCAGCGACCGCGTCCTCAAGGCCAGCCGCAAGGTCGACCCGGCGCTCGGCGCGCACGCGCCGCGGCCCCAGTACGCGACGGGCTGCCTCCTCGAGTCGAGCCTCCTCGAGGCCGCGCGGAACCTCGCCGTCGGCGCCCTCTCCGACCCCATCGCCAGCCCCGCCGGCGTCCACGTCCTCCTCCGGACCGCGTAAGAGCGGGCCGCGGGCGTCAGTGCACGGCCGCGGGCGTCGCCGGGGGTCGGCGGCGCTCTCGGAGAGCCGCTCGAGCTCGGTTATGAGCGCGAAGCTTTGAATCGCACCCAGCCAGACAAGCCGTCGCCACCACACCTCGTCGCAGTACCGCGCGTCGTCGCATCGATCGTCGTGCGTAGCACCCAGCTCGCAAGCACCACCAGTCAGCACGAGAGCATGGCCGTCATCGCCGCGCCGGCGCTGAGCGAGTACGAGCAGCAGCGCCTGGCCCACATCCGCCGCAACCACGAGTTCCTCGTGGGCCTGGGCCTCGCCGACGCGAGCGTCGACCCCGTGGCGGCGCTCAACGGCAAGCCGAGCAAGCCCAGGGCGCCGCGCGGCCCGAAGAAGGTCAAGGTGCCCGTGCCGCCCGAGAGCCTGCGCCGCAGCTCGCGGCTCCAGGGCCAGGAGGTCGAGTACACGCACGAGGTCGTCGACGCGTTCGGCGACGACGACCAGCCGCTGCGCAAGAAGGCGAAGCGCGAGGCGTCGTCGGACGACGACGGCGACGACGCGGCGCTCGACGAGATGCGCGCCGAGGCCATCGCCTACCTCAAGGAGGTCCGCGAGGCCCAGCTCGCGCTCGCCGTCGACGCGGCGGCCGCGGACGGCGACGACTGGAAGCGCGAGGCCGTGCGGCGCTGGGGCCCGCTCGCCGGCGGCGGCGGCGACCGCGACTGGAAGCTCTTCGTCGAGTCGCGGCTCTCGACGCCGCCGCCCGTGTCGCCGCTCGACTTCCTCCAGGAGTACTACGCGGCGGACACGTGGCGCCTCCTCGTGTCCTGCATCCTCATGTCGCGCGTGTCGTCCTGGAACACGAAGCACGCGTGCATCTCCGCGTTCTTCGAGCTCTACGCGACGCCGTCGGCATTCTCCGCGGAGACGGACTACGGGAAGATCCAGGGCGCGATCCACAGCCTCGGCCTCTTCGACGACCGCCTCAAGTCGCTCGTCTCGCTCACGGAGGCCTTCCTCCACGGCGTCAAGCTCGAGCCGGCCAAGGGCGCCAAGTCGCCGCGCGCCGACGAGTTCAAGGTCGAGCTCGACCGCAAGAGCCCCCACAAGATCCACGGCGTCGGGCCCTTCGGCCACGACTCCTGGCTCGTCTTCTGCAAGGACGCGTCCGCCTCCATGTCCCTCTCGAAGGGCGGCGACCCCATCGCGCCCTTCTACAACTGGCGCAAGAAGCACGCCAAGGCCGAGGTTCAGGCCCAGGCCCAGGCCGCCGAGTAGGTGCCGAGTAGGCTGAGAGATTACAGCGGCCGCCCCGGGCACATCCACGCGGAGGCGTCCTCCTCCTCCGGCGGGTCGACGGAGACCCGGACGGGCATGGGGCTCGTCATGCGCTCGAGGTGGACGTCCACGACGGCCGCGCTCGTGCGCCGCCGCGTCGGCGACGGGGGCCGCGCCGCGCCCGGGTCGAGGTGCGCGCCCTCGGCCTTGGTCTCGGCCCCGACCGCGACGGCCGGCCGCGCGCCGGAGAAGCGGCGGACGCGCCGCTCCGCGTCCTCGAGGTCCTTGAGCGCGCCGTCGAGGCTCCGGTTCGAGTAGAAGCGCTCGAGCTGGCGCTCCTTCTTGCGCAGGAAGTGGACCGCGAGGGCGACGACGAGGGACGCGAGGGACAGCGCGATGGGCCCGAGCATCTCCGCGACGCCCATGGACTCCCGGGTCGCGTCCGGGGCCTCGGACGCCGCCCAGGGGTCCGCCTGTGCCGAAACCAACCACTGGTTTGGGTGGTCCTGACCAAACTTGAGAATTCTCTAGCTCGGTCAAATCGAAGTCGATTCGGCTGATTTTTGGACGGATCGATCGCTCTCGTCGAGTTCTCGAAGCTCAGCCGAAGAGCTTGTGTCAAAACATTCGAATACGCTCATATTGAAGTCGGGTTGAAGATTTGGTTTCGGCACAGGGGTCCGCGGCGAGCGCGCCCGCGTGCTTGTCCCAGTAGGCGTCGTAGAGGCTCTCCTCGATGATCTGGCGGACGTAGTGGGACACGGGCTTCTGGTAGAGGTCCGCGACGGCGAGCGCCTCCGGGTAGCTGAACGCGGGCCGGCCGACGAACTGGTACGCGTCGAGGTTTTGGGCCTCGTTGACGTCGAGCGTGACGTAGTCGCTGTAGCTCAGCATGATCGCGTCGCAGTCGCCCGCGGTGAGCCTGGCGTAGTTGGCCGCCGCGGTCCACCCGCCCTCGACGCGCCGGAGCGGCGACGCCGCGAAGATTTCCGCCGCGTAGGCCCAGGTCTGGGAGTGGACGCACACGGAGCAGCGCGCGGCCTCGCAGGCGGCGATGGAGTCGATCTCGAGGTCGTAGGCCGCGTCGTCGCTGAGCATGGCCGCCAAATTCGCGGTGTAGAGCGTCGTCGCGACGAGGACGAAGAAGCCGAAGAAGCCCTTGACGAAGCGCTGCGCGAGCGCGTCGCCCGCCTCGTCGGGCGCGCTGTCGACGCCCGACGACATGATGCTCATCAGCGTGCCGTAGACCTCGCGCGACGCGTGGTTTGCCATCTCGCGCCGGTCCGCGCGCGATTCGTCGCCGAGCGCGCCGTCGAGCGTGAGGTACGACGTCACGAGGCCCGTGCAGGCCTGGGCAGCACAAGGGTGATTCAACGTCGCTTCAACGTGAGTGTGCCGCGCGCGCGCAATTCGGAAACAGCACCCACGCTTCGAGACCGTTCCGAGAGATGATCGCTCGTCCAAAAATCAGCCGAAACGAGTGGAAACGGCCGAGACAGGAGCCTTTGAAGTTGGGAATTTCGCACCCTTTTGCTGCCCTGGTGCAGGCCACGACGCCGAGGATGCTGAGCCAGAGCCGCAGGCTGAAGGGCCGGAAGGGCCGCTTCATGCGGTCCCGGAGCGTCGCCTCCGTCTTCACGCCCCGGGGCACGAGGAGGGTGAACTCGTCGGTCGCGATCGCCGTCGTGAACGACGCCTGCTCGAGCCGCGCGTAGGTCGTCCACAGGTTCCCGAGGCAGACGTCCGCGCGGCCGTCGCGCACGTCCTCGAAGCAGGCGTTCCACGGCGACGCCGCCGCGTCGAGCGCGGGCTGCGACACGCGGACGTAGTCGGCGGCGAAGCCGCCGCGCGCCGCGACCTCGTCGAAGAGGTCGACGTAGGCGCCTTGGAGGCCCGGGATCGTCGCGTTGGGCACGGGTCCCTCGACGACGTAGCCGCCGTCCACGACGTAGGTGTAGGGCCGGATGAGCGCGGGCACCGCGACGCGCAGCGTCTTCCCGCGGATCTTCTTCGCGATGCGCTCCTCGCTCCAGAGCGCGCCGTCGCCGCCGCAGGTCTCGTAGCTGTAGTAGAGCGGCGTCATGTAGTTGGACCGCGCGAAGGGCGTCGTCGAGGCGTAGCAGGCCTCGGGGTCGACCCAGCACCAGCTCTCGCCGCAGGCCGTCGCTCGACCCGCCGCACGGCGCCGTCGCGACGTCGTGCGGCGCGCAGGCGTCGAGGCCGTAGGTCCGCGGCGCCGCGAAGCAGTCGCCGCCCGTGGGGCAGATGGTCAGGGTGCCGTCGCCGTGGCCCGAGTCGAAGCACTCGGCGTCCTCGACGCAGAGCACCGAGCGGCTGCCGTTGAGCACCTCGGCCATCCGCGCCTCCAGCTCCGCGCCGATGCAGGGACAGGACGGCCGGCCCGTGGACACGTTCGCCGCCGCCGCGACGGCGGCGACGACGGCGAGCCGCGGGGCTGCCCGGAAGACGGCCGACATCATCACCGTTCCGTGCCGCATATGCGCGCGCGCTCTCAACAGTTTCTCTCTGAAGGCTGCGGCAAGTTGCCAAGTTTCCGTCTTCGTTGACCTTTTTTTCTTAGCAGGCGCCGCCGGCCGTGAGCTCCGTCGACGAGGAGCGCGCGTCCTTGGGCGGCGGCGCGAGCTCGCTCGTCGCCCAGCGGCCGAAACAAAGGACGAAGGTCGCGGCGCACCAGTAGCGCCAGAAGTCGAAGGACGGCTGGCCGTAGCGCGCGTCGCCCCAGCCTCGCCGCAGGTAGCAGACCTCCGCGGCGCCCCAGAGCGCGCCGGCGCCGCCGCCGACGTCGAGGACGAACGTCGCAGCGCGCTCGGCGGCGGCGGCGGCGGCGCGGCGGCGCGCGCCGGAGCTCGCGCGGCGCCGCGGCGCGGCCGCGGCGTCTCCGGCCGCGGCGGCGCCGCGCGGCGCCGCGAGCGACCGGAGGACGCCGGGCCATTGCCAGCGGGCGAGGAAGGCCAGGAGGAAGGCCAGCGTGATGAGGCGGCACTGCGGGTAGGTGTTCCGGCACCGGGCGTAGCCCGGCGCCCACGCGCCGCCGACGCCCTCGCGCCCGCACGCGGTCGGATAGTGCGTCCGGTAGCCGAGGATCTCGAGGCAGCCCCACGCGGCGCCGGCGCCGCCGAGGACCTGCAGCAGGAAGCAGGCGAGCACCTCGTCGCTCGCGTTGCGCTCGCGGCCCAGGGCGTGGACGCCGATCCAGCGCAGGAGGCACCAGCCGCCGACGCAGACCGACACGAGGCGCCAGGCCGTCGCGTTGTTGCCGCGGCGCACGCCCAGGAACTCCGAGCTGCCCCAGACCGCGCCCGCGCCGCCGAGCACCTCGAGCAGGAACGTCGCCGCGAGCTCGAGGGCCGCAGCCAGGCGGCCTTCCGACGATGGCCCCATGCTCGAGGCAGTAGTGCTCAAGGCTGCCCCGAAAGGTTTGGGATGCCGCTCACACACCAGTTTGCTCGCAAGCGCTGCCCAAGCTCGTATGGGCCACTCCAGGTAACGCTTTGCTGCACGACCCGTCCCGCGGCGATGAAGGCGAAGCGCAGCCCGGCGCCGGCGACGGTCTTCATCAACGGCGTGCCGCTGGCGCGGCCCCTGTTCCTGAAATGGATCTCCGACGCGGAGAACGAGCCCTGGGACGCCGTGCGCGCCGACGCCGTCGTCGTCGACGTCTACCGGCCCGAGCCGCCGTCGCCGCGGCCCGACGAGCCGTCGCCGCGGTGCGAGCCGTCGCCGCGGAGCGGCGGCGCGCCGCGCGAGTTCCGCGGCCGCCGCGTCGGCGCCGGCGGCGGGTCGCGGGGCGAGGCCGAGGCCGACGCGCGGCTCGCCGGCGACGTGCTCGCCGTCGCGGGCCGGGCCGAGGTCGACGGGCTGCTGCGCGTGGGCGAGCTGACGCGGGCGCTGGACCGGCCCCAGTTCGGCGCGCTCGGGCGGTACCTCGTCGACGCGTTCCGGCTCTGGGAGGACGAGGACGGCGACGGCGCCATCGAGTTCGACGAGCTGCGGCGCGCCGTCGCGATGTGGCGCGAGTCGCGGAGCCGCGTCGCGAAGCCGAAGCG